TATACCGAAAACTGCATATAATTAAGATATAGAATTTGGAGGTTTTGGACATATGTATATACTCGTTTTACCAACACAACAATCAAGGTAATAAACACATTCGCCATCTCCAAATTTCCTTGCGTGCCTTTGCGTGTGTGCGTTAAGAACACTTAGGATAAGATCAACCCTCTTAAGTTTTTAAGTATACAGTACCTGTCTGTTAAATATGGGCACTGTGCTGTACAGCAGAAGTCTGGAACTTTCTCATTTTGTGTAACTGCAATTTGCACCTAGTGAACACCCACTCCCACGTCACCCTCCCTTATCCCTTTGCTAACCACCATTCTGTTGTCTACTTCTACGCATCTGACTATTTTAATGCCCCACATAAGAGAAACCATGCAGTATCTGACCTTCTGTAATTGACTTATTTCACTTAGCATGTTTTCCAAGTTCATCTGTGTTGTTGCAAAAGGTAGGATTCTCGTGTGTGTGTGTGTGTGTGTGTGTGCGTGCGCGCGCATGTGCGCGTGCGCACGCGTGCAGTAATTCTCCTCCCCCATTGGAAGTTTCTTTTTCCATGGTTTCAGTTATCCACAGTCACTCAGTCCAAAAATACTGAATGGAAAATTCCAGAAATAAACAATTCATGAGTTTTCAATTGAGCACCATTCTGAATGGCGTGATGAAATCCTGTGTTATCCAACTCTGTCCCACTCGGTCGTGAATAATCCCTTTGTCCAGTGTATTCATGCTGTACACACCACCCCTGCTGGTCATTTAGTAGCTGTCTTGGTTATCAGATCAACTGTCACAGTGTCAGCGTATGTGTTCAAGTGGCCCTTATTTTACTTAGTAATGGCCCCAAAGTGCAAGAGTAGTGATGCTGGCAATTTGGATATGACAAACAGAAGCCCGAGAGTGCTTCCTTTTAGTAAAAAGGTGAAAATTCTCAACCTAACATGGAAAGAAAAAAGAATCGTATGCTGAGGTGGCTAAGATCTACGTAAGAACAAATCTTCTATCCATGAAATTGCCTAATTTATAAATTAAACTTATCATAGGTATGTATGTGTAAGAAGAAACAGTATTTAGAGGGTTCAGTACTACCCATGGTTTCAGGCATCCACTGAGGGTCTTGGCATGTGCCCCACAGGTACATATGGATGCTACATTTTCTTTATCCATTCATCTACTGATGGATATTTAAATTGTTTCCATATCTTGATTATTGTAAGTAATGCTGTGATGAACATGGGAGTGCAGACACCTCCCTGAAATCCCGATTTGAATTCTTGTGGATATATACTCAGAAGTGAAATTGCTGGGTCATATTTTTAATCTTTTGAGCACTACCCATACTCTTTTCCATAGTGGCTGCATCATTTGGCATTCTCTCCAATGGTACACAAGTCTCCCTTTTCTCCACCTCATCACCAATACTTGTTACCTCTTGTCTTTCATAATAACCATTCTAACAGGCATGCGGTGATATCTTGTTGTAGTTTTCCTTTGCATTTCCCTGATGACTAGCGATACTGAACATTTTTTTTCATGTACCTGTTGGCTATTTGAATATCTTCTTTGGAAAAATGTCTATTCTGGTCCTCTGCCCATTTTTTAAATTGAATTCTTTGTCTTTTTTGCTAATAAGTTGTATGAGCTCCCCACATATTTTGGATAGTAATCCCTCATCTAATCCCTTATCTAATATTGCAAATATTTTCTCCCATTCCATAGATTGTCTCTTCATTTTGTTGATAGTTTCTTTTGTTTATAGAAGGCCCTGTCTTTTAAAGACACTCACTAATAGCCTCACGTGTCATTCAAACTTATAGCCCATTGGCTAGAACCTAGTGAAGTGGGCTTGCCAACACGCAAGGAAGGCTGAGACATATCGCCTTTACCCTGGGTGCCCTGCTAAACACCAGCTGGTCCACCACTAAGGAAGAAGGCGGAGCCAACACTGGATAGAAACTGTAGTCTCTGTTTCATTCCCCCACTACATATGAAACTTTAGGCAAGAATTTTCTGATGAATATTCTTCTTATTAAAATCAAAATAATACCTCCTTTGTGTGGATTGTTCTAACCTCTCAGCACTGTCTGAGACTGTTCACCATGAACTCCTTCCTGAAACAATCTATGCTTCCTGTGACTTCCACAGCATGATACTGTCCAGATTTTCCTCCAACCTCTCTAGCTGTTATTACTTTTTGTTGTTATTGTTGCCTCCTCTTTTTCTTTCTGTCCCTAGTGTTCATATCTGTCCTTGAGCAACAACTCCATTCCTCACTTTACCCATTCTTCTTACTGTTACACGTGGTGAAAGGAGGTATAGAACATATCTACTGAATACTTACTATATGCTAAGGAATATAAGCAGTTTACACACAGACTATCACTTAATTCTCTTGACAACCACAAAGGTAGATACCATGGTTATTCCCATTTTACATGGAGATTGATGTGATTTGTCCACAGTAGGGCAACGCCAGGTTTAGATTTTTACTCCAGAACATCTGAATTTACAGTTTTTGAGCTTACCACTATACCACCCCCTCATCCCCCCTACTCGCCCCCTACAAAGAAACACATCGAGCCCCATGCATATACTCAGTTGCTTACTGGACAGCTCTATTTGGCTATCTCATAAGCATTTCAAACTCAAGATGCCCTAGAGTAAACTCACTGGTCTTTCAACAATTATTTATTGAGTACTTGCAAGAGGCTACAAGTCCAGAAATGAAGCAAACTATAGAATCTCGGAAGGGCCCTCGGTTTACATCTAGCAAGAAAATGGGGACGTCAGTCCTAAAACCACAAGAAACTAAATTCTGCTAACAATCTAAAGGAGCAGAAAACATATTCTCCCCGAGTCTCTAGAAAAGAGCACGGCTTTGCCAACACCTTGTGCTAGCCTGGCAAGATCTCAACCAGACTTCTGACCTACAGAATTACAAACTGAGAGATTCGCATTATTTTAAGCCACTAAATTCTGGTAATTTGTTATGGCAGCAATAGAAAACTAATGCAGACTATTTTAGGTAGGGTGGTTGGGAGAAACTACTCTAAGGAGAGACCTAGAGAAATATCTGAGGGAAGAGCTTCCCCAGCCAAAAGGAATGACCCTGAAATGAGAGGAGCTTGGAATGTATGGGGAGCAGCAAGGAAGCCAACGTGGCTGAAGCAAGGAGAGGGCAGCGGAAGCTGCCACCACCTTGCTATTAGTTCCGTAAGATTCATTTCAGATTTCTGAACTGTAAGATAATAAACTTGTATTGTTTTAAGTCATTAAGTTTGTGGTAATGTTAGAGCAGCACTAGGAAGCTAATAAAAGTCATAATGTCACTGAACTGTTTTTTCTTCAGTGGAACCCATCTTGGTAAATGGCATAAACAGTAGCTATTTGTTCAAGGCAGAAATATGGGCCACCTTTAATTCCTTCTTCTCCTTAATGCTCTCAAGCCAGTCAACATCTCATTCTCTAAATTCTACCTACTAAATATTTATTTAAAGTTACCCACTGTACTATTTCTCTGTTACAAATCGTCATCATCACCATCACCATTTCTCTTCGGGATGAAAGAAGAGTACATATCCGTCATTCTCTATTTAGCAGCCAAAATAATCCTTCTAAATTGAGTATTTCTGGTGTTTATTCCTTTCTCCTCAAACTCTTTGATGGCTATTTCACTCAGAACAAAGCCCAAACTGCTCCACGTGTCTTAGAAAGTCCCTGTCTTCAGCATTATTTCCTGACTCTCATACTAAACTTCGGACCCTGAAAAGCATTTAGAAACCTTACTTCAAGTGTCAGCATTGGCCTTCCTTGTGCATTGCTTCCTCATAGAAAATGCTGCAATGTTCAGCACCTTTTCCCAGTCACCATCAGGGCCCAAATTATTCCCTTCGGATCGCCCCTGATCTAAATTGTTAGCACCTTGACATTAGGGCTTTGAACTTTGTTTCAAGACACTCATCACAATAATTAGGGTTCTGTCTGTCCCACGAGAGCAGGGCTTTTGCCTGACTTGTTCACTACTCCATTTCTAGCAGCCAGCACATAGTAGGTGCTCAGGAAATATGTCACATGGTTAACTAAGGAGCTATAAATCTACAATGGCTCATGTCATTTTTAACAAACATTTCTTGAAAAGTCTTTACTAATGGAGTGTTCAGAAACTTTTTAAAATGCAACAATTTTGTGCCTATCACTCTTTTCCACTTTCTAGACTTTTTTGTCCCCTTTGAAAATGGGCAGTAAGAAGTAGATGGGAGAATGGCTTTAATTTTTCTTACATTTATAATACCGCTCAACATGTATTTATTGAACACCTTCTATGTGTCAATCGCTAAACGTTGAGAATACAATAAATGAATAAAATAGACACAGTATCTGTTTTTACGGAGTTTGCATACTAGTGTGTGTGTATAAGGTGAAGGTAAGTCAGAAAGTAAACAAAGCGAAAATTATGTAGAACATAGTAATAAGAGCTAAAGTCAAGAAGGGGAGTGTGTGTAGTGTTAACATTTTGAGTGATCGGGAAACTTCTTAAATGAACCGACATTTGAGCAGGGACCAAAAGCAATTCGGTTGTCTGTTATCAGGTCACAAGGAAGCATGCAAGATTAGGAATTTCGTTTCCTAAATTCAAATCGCAGGTTACCAGTTGCAAGCTGAATGCGACTAAACAAATCAAACCAGTCCCTCTGAGCCAGCCTCCTAATACTACAAACCTCTTGTTAAAGCTTGTTAAGAGAAAAAGCTTAGCAAGGACACTAACATAAAAGAGTTCTAACAGGAATTCTAAGGAAAAGCTGAGATCTGGGAAACGAACTCTGCGAAAGCCCACTACGCACAACACCGCCTCTGGCCGCAGTGCAGCTGGCGATTGGCTACTCAATCCGTCCATCCCGCCCTCCTGGGAGTCCGGCCCAATCCCAGCCGTCTTTGCGCCGAGACAGTTCACAGGGTCCGCCGAGTGGGCGGTGTCCATGACGTCAAAATGACGCGTTACGTCACGGCGGGCGGAAGTCACGGGCGCTGTTTTGAAATCGGGCCGCTGTTGTCTCACAAGTTCCTGCACACGCCGAGATCCGCAGCAACCCAACGCCCGGCAGACCCCTGAAACCCCTTCTCCGGCTCCGCCGGCCTGAGGCCACAGCTGCGCCATGTCCACCCCTCCGTTGGCGGCGTCAGGGATGGCGCCGGGGCCCTTTGCCGGGCCCCAGGCTCAGCAGGCCGCCCGGGAGGTCAACACCGCCTCGCTCTGCCGGATCGGGCAAGAGACAGTCCAGGACATCGTGTACCGCACCATGGAGATCTTCCAGCTCTTGAGGAACATGCAGGTGGGAAGGAGGGCGGACGCCGCTCTTGAGCGTGCGTGGAGAAAGCTGCATGCTTCTGCGACGGACAGGGGCGCTTGTTTAGTCGTTACGTGGGGCCTCTAGGCGTCAGCTGGGCTGCCCTGGGCAACTCTCAAGTATAGGGTCGTCCTCATTTACATTGAGGAGTGTGCTTCAATGTTGTGTCTTTCTCCAAGAGTCTGCGAGGTAAAGGTGATGTTTTCCAGACCGGATTTCAGGACCATTGAAGCCACATTGTCTAGATTCGAACGGGTTCTGTAGTTACTAGGCACTCTTGTACCTTTCAAGGTACATGTGGGCCGCACTCTGCTTTTGATTAACTTTAATCTTTTACCAGCAAAATACTTTGAGTGTCTAAGGATTTGAAGAATTCAGATCCTACTAACCATTTTTGTTAAACAGCTTTATTTTGGTATAAGTGACATACAATAAAATGCATTTTAAAAAAGTTTTCACGTATGTATATACTTGTGAAACCCATCATCCATCACCCCAAAAAGTTTCTTCATGCTCCTCCTTTGAAATCTTTACTTCCAGCCTTCTATCCACAGACAAACTTTGATTTGCTTTCTGGCACCATAAATTAGTTTGCAGTTTCTAGACATTCATGTAAATGGAATCATACACTATGTAGTCTGTTTTTGTTTGCTGCTTTTACTCAGCATATATCAAAAGTTAATTTCTTTTATTGCTGTATAGTGCTCCATTGAATGAATATATCACAATTTGTGTTGGTGGACATTTAGGTTGTTTCTATTTTGGAGCCATTATAAAAATGCTGCTGTGAATGTTCTCCTGCAAATGATTTTGTGAACATATATTTCATTTATCTTGCATAGACAGATACCTAGCAGTGGAATTTCTGCGTCATATGGTAGATGTTTAACATTTTAAGAAAGCTTTCCAAAGTGGCTGCACTGTTTTACATTCCCATCAGCAATGTTTGAGGATTCTAGTTTTTCCTCATCTTTCTCAACACTTGCTATTGTTGGGATTTTTTTGTTTTGTTTAGCTTGGCTTGGCTTGGCTTGGCTTGGCAAATACTTTCTCCAAGTCTGTGGCTTGTCTTATTCTTTCACGTTTCCTTTTGAAGAACTGACTTTTTAAATTTGGATGGAATCCAATTGATTATTAATTTGTCCTTTTACAGATTTTGCTTTTGGTGTCGTACCTAAGAAATTTTTATCTAACTGAGGTGACAAAGATTTTCTATTGTGTTTTCTTCTGGAGTTTTATAGTTTTAGATTTCACATTTAGGTCTATAATCTACATTAATTTTTTTATATGTGATAGGTATGGATCCAAGTGCATTTTGTTTTGCATTTGGATACAGTTGTTCCAGGACCATTTAGCTAACCCATTTTTAATGCTTGGTCATGTTACTGCTTTGTGAGTGAATATCATTTTTGTTTTATGGATGAGGAGTTTGTGGTTCAGAGAGGTAAAGTGACTTGCCCAGAGCTAGTCAATGCTAGGGTAAATTTGAAACCAGGTCTTCAGACTTTTACAATACTTATTTCTGCGGGTGCACTAAAGCGTGTGGTTTATTGCCTTTTTTTTTTAAGTTCTTGGGATTTTTCTCCCCTGATTTTAAAAGTAATTCAGTTCTGTGGAAGTCTTTTAAGACCATGTTAATAAGTCAGTGTGAAACAATACAAAGGGAATTTAAGAGAAGGTAGGAAATCTTTGGCAATATTAAAAGATTAATATCTAAGATGATTAAAGTATGGATTAAATGATCTCAGAATTTAGCAAATACAATTGATGCTTGAACAGCATGGGAGTTAAGGGTGCCCACAACCCATGCAGTCGAAAATCCGAATATAACTTAAGCCTGCCTTCCACTACATGGATTTCCAATAGCAAATTGAAATGTTTTTCTTTATTTTTAACATGCTGTATGCAAAGTACTGAATTAGGACCAGAACACTGATAGCTAATATTTACCAAGTGCTTTCCTTGGCCATGTGTACTGTCCTAAGAGCCGTTCTAAGAAATCTTGTTATCCCTATTTTACAGTTAAGGAAACTGAGGCTTAAAGAGAGAATTTACCTAACATCACACCTGACTAGTGGCTCCTCCTGTTAACCTCTTTATAATACTAATTTGCTGTCAAACAATTTTTAGTATTAAAAGAGATACAATAAACATCCATGACCTGCACAGAAAGAACTAAACATTTTCCAAAAAGTATTGTCAATAACTAGATTACATGTGGACATATATTCAAAACCAATTTGTAGCAGACTATGGTAGTTATTTCTTTGTGGCTCTTTAATGAGTTCTGTGGTTGAACTCATCTAAGACCCTTTAGGGCATATTATAATTGGCTAAAAAAGAAACAACAGTGTGCTTCTTCATTTCCAGAAGGCTAGAAGTAGGGGTACAAACAGGACCACATGTAATTTATTTACTAATACATTTTTTAAAGTATTCAGATTTTTAAAATTATCTTCTATATTACTAATCAAGAACGATGACGTACCAACTGCTGAGATTACTTCTAAGCATTTGTTTTAGAGAAGTGGGTCCGTCCTTATTAGGTGTCCTTTAGCCTCTTGGGAATCAAGTGAAAACTACAGACTCTCTTCTGAGAAAAACGCATATATGTACATTCTGAATAAAATTTCGGGAGCGGGTGGTTTACTGGATGTCTCCCCGAGGCTCTCTAGATCCCAGGGTAAGACTCCCTGTGTAGGAACAGTACAGTGAACATTCTCTCTCCCTTCCCTATCTGCATAGGAAAGTCTTGCTTTGGTTCTGTTTACTATTCTTTACATCTTTAAACAATTTTTTGAATATATAATACATTCAGAATTCAGAAATTAAAAAAAGACATTACAGTGAACATTCTCCTTCCCATCCCTTTCTGCTAGCTATCTAACCCCTCTCTATAGGCAATGATTGTTAATGATTTTTCTTGTGTATCCTTCCAGATATCCTATGCACATTTAAGCAAATGTCTACATGTATTCTTTCATTTTCTTCCCTTTTGCACAGATAGCACTATGTCATACACAGTGTTTTGCACCTTGCTTTTTTTATTTGGTATATTTTGGAGTTTATTTATATCCATACAGAGAGTACTTCCTCCTCCTTTTAAAGTGTATAATAATTCACTACATGGAGATGTAATTTATTTAACCAGTTCTCTACTGAAAGGCATTTAGGTTGCTTTTAATCTCCAGCTATTGTGCTGCAGCGAATAACCTCCTTCTTAAATGCACAAGTATACCTACAGGATAAGTTCCTAGAAATAGCTATGTGCTTCTATAATTAGATATATTTTGATGAATTGCCCTGCATGGAGGTTGTACCAATTAATGCTACCATGTCCTGACCAACAACTGGGCTCTAACACAGTGAGTTATATTTTTGGATCTTTGATCATTTATATTTTCCTAGTCTGAATGAGTTTGAGTATGTCTTCATATATTTATAAATTATATATATTTCTGTTTCCATTTTACATTTAAAACTTTGATCCACATGGGATTTATCCTAGAATAAATGAGATATGACCCCAGCCTTACTTTTTCCAAAAGGTTGATTGAATAATTCATTTCCTCCCCCATTGATTTCATATGCTACCAAATGAATCTATTTCTGGATGTTCTATTTCACATAGCTGCCTGTCTCTTATATAATAATACCAAACATATTTATTGAGACTCTACAATGTGTTTACACTTATTCTTCCTTATTGCTCTGGCTGTTCTTGCTAGTGTATTTTTCCACATGTACTTTTAGAATCAGCTTGTTTAGTTCTGAGAAAAACCTACTCATGTTTTTAATAGGTTCATTTTAACTCAGATCTGACAACAGTATTATGTGAGTCTTAACTAAGAATATCCTTTTGTGTCCCTATGAGTATTTTAAGTTTTCATTTTTATCTTGGAATTTTTAAAGTTTATTCCTAGATATCTGATTGTTGCTACTACTGTAAATTGGGTCTTTTTCCTTTCTCATTTTCTTTTGTTTTTATATATGAAAGCAAAGCTATTGTTTTCTCTATATTTTGTACCTACCTATTTCTTGGATTCTTTTATTGATAGTAGCACTTTATCATATCACTTGTAGCGATGGTTATACCACTTCCTCTTTAATGTTTCATCTTTTTTTTTCGTGTTCCCCCTAATGCATTGGCCAGTCCCCCAGAACAGTGTGCACTGGTAGTGTTCATGGTCTCAGTAGACGTCCTATTCTGTTCCTGAATTAAGTGAGAATGCTTTTAATGTGCTGACCTTTTTTAACTGAGATAAATGTATTTTTATCATGTTGGGGACTGTTTCTTAAGAGTTTTATATTTAAGAATGGAGGTTATATTTAGTTGAATGCCTTTTTAGTGTCTAGGGGTATGGTCACATACTTACAGCTAAACATCTACACCAGTGCACACCAAGGCATCTTAGGCACTAACACATCTCGTACTCTGTGGTATAGGAACTTTGTCTCCCATGTTTCTAGAACCAAGCTTCACACCTGGAAGGTGTATAATTTTTTGAATGAATTAGTTGTTCCTGTCATTGAGAAGCTGCTGTTGTATATGAAAACTAATACCCAAACTTACTAAGTAGGTGAATTTGAGGAGGGTGATTCTTTGCATTTCAAAAGGATTTTTGTTTTCCTTTATGAAAAGATTTAATAAGAGTTCTTTTACAATACACACACTTCTAAAGTGAATTTTAAGTATAGATTTATGGGTAAAATAACTCACTAAAGTAAAATAATTCAGACCATACTTTAACACTTGTTTGTGTGTCCTGTATCACTAAATACAGTGATACAAATGTAAGTTCCAGTCTTCACTAAGTAGAAAATATGGGCAGAGTATTAAATGTAGGAAATGCCATACATAATAAAGGCACAGAGTGCTCCTTTATGGAAGATACAATCATTATAGTCCTCATTCTCACCCAAACAAGAAAGCAGGGCTCCTTTGAAATGTTCCTCTGATTGTCAGAGTCAGTGAAATGTCATCAGTTGGAAAGCTTAAGTGGAGAAACCCTACATTGTGTTGGGTGGTGAACTTTTAATGATTCCCCTTTAAACTGTTTCAATTATTACAGCCTGAGCTATTTATCACATTTCTTTGAGGTATGGTCCTCAGATTGTTTTAATACCTGATAATTTCTGAAAATCCTAACAATATCTCATTTCAAATAAGTTTGGATCCACCTCCTTATCTTATACACCATTACATTATAGGAAATTTGGAAGTGAGAACAGAAGAAAATAAATTATTTAAGCCTATCTCCCTAGTATATCTTTAATCAACTATATATATAAGCCTTTTGAGTCTTTTTTTCATGTTTATAGTTTTACCTGTTTATAATGGTAGTGTGTCCTGTTTTCTTTTTTTCTCCATTGTTTTATATACTTTCTTTCTTTTTCTTTTTTTTTTTTCATTTCCACTTCATCTGTTTAAAAAAGAAAAACTAATGAACTGAAGTTTAGAAATACTGGAATGATCTAGCTATTACACAATAGTTTTGTTACTTTAATCCCTGAGATAGGTATACAGGTTAGTGCTTATAATGGAAGTGCCTTGTATACCAGAAAACATGGTGCAAATGTTGTTATTGTTAATATTAAGATGACTTCACAGATCAAATTGTGGGAGTAAAATATAAGGATGTACAGAGAAAGGAAGATTTTGTTCATGAGCTTCAGCAAGGCGCAAAAGGTATTTATTTAGTTATAAGTTTTAGATAAATAATAGTCACTTTCCATTTATCTGTGATTTTATCATCATTTCAATGCATAAATTTGGCTTTTATTAAATTCCTGAATTAAAAATGCATAAGCATCCAAGACAGAGTTCTGATCACAGCAGTTACTTGTAGTAATTTATTAATGATGTTCAAGTTCAGGTTGATTTTCCCCTATATCTCCTGCCATATATTCCTTTTAAAGTAAAACTTTTGGTGACAGCTTTATATTTTAATGTGTGCCTAGAACATCTTAATTATCTTATCAGAGTTAAGGTATTTTGATAAAATTTTGCAACAGGAGCAGCATACTGCTACTTTTCTTCTGCTGAAAAGTCCTGTCATTTCTTTCCTTTTTTAAAACTATTTTATTTTTAACTTCCTGGTTCAGTTCAGCAGCTCGCTGTCTTTAGGAATATTAAAATTGTACATTCTCTTTAAAGTTATACTTCAAAAATTAGAAGGAAAGGTATTTCACCTCATCAGAGGAGCTTATCATGAATTTTTTCTAGGTCTGTTTTATAACACGGAAACAGTGTGCTCAGGAACTAAGAAATGAACATGTATTACTCTTAAATTCTCAAAATTGCACTTGATCAAACTGTGAGGAACAATTTGCTTTTATGCAATACTTAAAAATTGTTTGCTAGCTTATAGAAAAACTTGATTTTCATTACTTTATATGTTTATTGTTTTGTTTTGCCTGATAAGCTGCCAAATGGTGTCACGTACCATACTGGAACATATCAAGATCGGTTAACAAAGCTCCAGGATCATCTTCGCCAACTTTCCATTCTCTTCCGGAAGCTGAGACTGGTGTATGACAAATGCAATGAGAACTGTGGAGGGATGGACCCCATTCCAGCAGAGGCAAGTTTTAGTGGTAGAGGGAGGATGAATCCAAGATGTAAGACAGTCTCAAAACATTTGTAATTTTTTCCCTTCTCGCTTTCTATTTTTGCAATATTTCTAGATTTTAAATTATAGCAGTTTTATTTCTGACTAGAGAAAATGAAAAGATATACATGTGTGGAATGAGTTCTGTATTTTCATGTTAATAATTTCTTATAGATTTTAGCATCCAGGCTTATTAGTGAATTTTTATTGTTGAGAGGAGAGGGTTGTCTGTGTCTCCTTTTAATTAAACCCATGCACAGTTTTTCGTAAGAGTTTTAACAGTATTATAAAATATTTTTAAAGTGGTTTTCATGTAAGTTCTTTACAGACAAAAGTTATGTTTGCATCATTATTTAGTTTAGTGGACTCATTCTAGTTTTCAAATGGCTTTTTAAAGTTTAATCTTGGTTTATAGATATAGTTTAGTTAATTAGGTATATGATATTTTTATAAATGGCCCTTTCCTGTTGACAGGTTATATCTCTGCCACCAAAGGTAGCTGGGAAGCTGTGGATGTTTTCACACTGCATACAAAGAACAGTTTCATGTGGTCAGTGCTTCCTTTTTTGAGTGGTCACCATGTAAGGGATGAATAGAGAAAGAGTAAACTCAAAACTACTTGAAAAGAAGTCAAAGATGTAGGGAGAAGATAGGGTTGACACTGTCAGATGCTGCAGAGAAGTCAAGGAAAATCAGGAATGAAAACTGTCCAGTAGGCTTTGCTGGAAGAAAACTGTTGGTACATTTGAGCAGAACTTCAGTGAAATGGTCGCAGCAAGAAGTCAGATCACAGTGGATTAAAGATTTAAACAGGAAATAAGGAACTAGAGCCGACAAGTGGATATCCATCTTTCAAGCAGCTTAGGTAAAAAGCAAGAGAGGAAAGCAGTAGATGGAAGGAGAGATGGAGTCAAGGGTGTTTTTGTTTTTTTCCTCCAAATGGGAGAGACTGGAACATATTTAGATGATGAAGAAAACAGCAGGGAAAGGCTGGAGGGAAGGGGATAAATAATGAAGGCAGGGAAGGCAAAGGAATCTCAGCACACAAGAATGGATACTAATCGTCCTTAGGAAGGACAGCTCTGTGTCAGGAGAGAGGAATTTTTTTTGTGGGTGTGGATGTGGATAAGTTTATATTTGTCCCAAGAATTTGAAGAAGTTCAATCAGATGACTGGTTGTACCAGTTATTTACCTCTGGCCTGTTTCTGCATTGGTAATGTGAGATGGTTGAGACGGTGATTCCTGAAGTCTGTCACATCCACAAGAGCTTCATCAAATAGACTTTATCACAAACTCTGCATATTTAATTATAATTCTGCCAGAAGTTTCATTGCTATCTAATATTTTTTCTCTAATATTTTTTCTCCTTAAAAAAAAAAAAAAAAAAGCTTTCCCCAAACTAAAAGAAGATATCTAGGAATTGGTATAGACACTGACACTCTGGATAGCAAGCAAATGACATTTATATAATAATGCACATCCATGAAGTTCCTTTCTTTCTCGTGTAGATGAAGGAAAGCCTATTCTTTCTCTCTGGACTATGGATTTATTAGGTGTGGGAATCACATCTTATTTGTCATTTTTGCAGTGTGCTACCCAGTGTCTGGCAATTAAATATTTGCTGATTGAATGAGTAGGCTGTTACTTAATGGTATGTGACAACTAGTGTTATAAGGGCTTTTTTTTTGCCAAAGAAACTTGAAAATCTAGTGTACAGAATGCACTAAAATGATGAACTTCTAACACTGTTATTTTAGACCATCAACTAAATTAAAATGTATTTTTATACTATTAGAAATATAAAAATTGACCTTAATCTGACTCATCTGTACCAGTGTAACTGAAAATTTTATGTCATGTTGTGACCTTTAACTTTTGTCATTCCCAGCAACTTATTCCATATGTGGAAGAAGATGGCTCAAAGAATGATGATCGGGCTGGCCCAGCTCGTTTTGCTAGTGAAGAGAGGCGAGAAATTGCTGAAGTTAATAAAGTGAGTTATTAGTCTGTACATTTTTATATTTCACAATTACTGATAAAATTTACAAGGAAGTCTAATGTAACTCAAAACATAATTTGAATTATAGAATTACTTGAAGTGGTTTCTGTGGCAAATTTAACTCATGTAGAGTAGTCTAACCAAGAACTAAAAGGTAAGCAGAAATGCCACGTGAGTAGTCAGAAGAGAGATCACAGGATTCATGTGGTAAAGCTCTTAGAAAAGCTTCATAGGCACTCCGTCACAACCCACTTACTTTCTTCTTTTCTAGGAAAAATTTTAGCTTTCTAGCTTACAGCATATTTGGAGCAACAAATTATAAAAATTTACAAATACAAAATGTGAATTTCTCAATACCTGAATAAGAAATTTGTGAGAGTTATCAAAGCATTACCTTAGCCTACTCTCCCACCCAAAAAAGTTCTGAAATTGAATGTATTTATTGGCTGAATACTTTCAGTACTTCATAGAAGATGTTAAGATAGTTATCATGAAATACAGTGCACTAGGGAAAGCTGTCAGTTTATTCTGTGATGGAAACATAGCTCAGGCTTACCAAAACCTAACCAACAGCACAATAAATAAAATGACTAAATTCATACTTTCATGTACAAATCCCACTCCCCCACCCCATCCTCTCTTGAAATTTTAATTCCAATTAATAGAATTCAACAGGGTATTAACAATCCACCACAGAGAGGATTTTCTGAGGTATATGAGGATAATCCAGTGCACATATATAATACATAGTATCATTGGATTAGGTTGGAAAAATTGTTTTCCTCATATATAAAAGACATTTAATAAAATTTACATGTTGCTGATTTTATAAAGAACATTTAAAACTATTAATAAGATATATTTTTTTTTATTTTAAGTCTTTTTATTTCTGATAAAGTGCCAACATTTTTCATACTTTTTTCAGGCATAAAATAAGATGCCTTACACCATTATGTTTAATATTATTTTAGAAGTTATAGACAGTACAAAAAGACAAGAAACAAATAAACTTTAGGAAACAGGGATTATAATATTATATAAAAGCTTGTTAAGCTTGTACATAATAGTATAACTCAAGCTTGTTAAGCTCAAAGAAACTCAGTTGATGAACAACTAGAATCAGTAAGACTGATAAAAAGGCTTAAGATCGATACTGTCCTTATAATGCTTAAACCAATTAGGTTATAAGATCCTACTCACGAATGCAACAACAAATATTAAGTAGTTAGGAATTAACTCAATGACACATGTTACTAAACTTAAGGTACATAAAAGAGGTTTTAAATAATTAAAAGTACATATAAAATTCTTGTGTCACCAGTAAATGTTCTTAAAATTGACAATCTTGATTATTTTGTATTCTAGTAACACTCCAAATCCAAATAGGCATTCTCTTGAAAGTACACAAAAATGAGATGTTAGTGCAATACCAATCAAAAAACAAATCTAAATAAAATCCAGACGGGAATTTTTTTCTTCAGAGTATACTAAAATATCAAAGAAAATACTGTTAAAGTAATAAAATAGAACTCTTTGTTTTAATAATTAAAATGTAATATGAAGCATAGTTTAAAAACAATAATTTTGAAATACTGACACAAGAATAGACCGATTAGTAAATTAGCCAGAAAAGTAGTCTTCCTGTTGTTTATGGGAATTTAATATGACAGAAGAAGGATTATGTGGAAAATCAGTCTTTAAAAATAGAAACCTTGGGAGAAAATTAAACTTGCTTTTATATCATATGTTGAAATGAATTTCAGACTTGAAAATAAGACCTACAAAACAAAATATGGACAAGTTAAAAGAAAAATGTATATCAAAACTAAGGAGAAAGAAAAAAAGATGGGCAGATTTTATAAAATAAAACTTTCTTTTTAATTTTTTTAAAAGCAGAAATACAAATTAAGACTATTTCCAGCAAATATGACAGTAATGAATGAGCATAAAGAACTCATAGTAGGAAATTAGTAGGGGATCAGAAGGGGACCGGGAACGTTTAATTTAGATCATGAAGAATGAATGATGTTGGGTAGTCCAGAGATGAGGCATTCATTTATTAAAAAGTGTTATTTTTCTATTGACAATCTATGTATTAAGTCACAATAGATGTTGTGTTTATTTTTTCTCTGTAATAAGAACTTTTTAAAAATACAATGCAATATATATAAATAAAACACCATTGTAATAACTTTAATTTCAGAGTCTACATGTGACATAAATATAGTTAGTTCTCTACCATAGATTTTATATGTAAATAAAAACTTGTGTAAATTCAGAAAAATTTTTCCTAAACATGTTACATGTACATAATAGTATAACTCAAGCTTGTTAAGCTCTTCTTTTTATCCAATTTGATGGTTTAGAAATAACTTATTTTTGATTATTTTTAAAAGATCTTTCATATAATCAGAATATGGTAATACTTGACAGTGTGAAATAAAAAAAATCTTACTACCAAAAAATTATTAGAAACAATAAATAGTAAAGTCACAGGATATAAAATTGATATATGAAAATCTGTTGCATTTCTATATAATAACTAAATCTCAGAAAGAGAAATGAAGAAAACAATACCATTTATAATCACAACAAAAAGATTAAAATACCTAGGAATAAACTTAGAGAAGGTGAAGGAGCGGAACACTGAAAACTACAAGACACTGTTGAAATTTTAGAACACACACGAAATGGAAAGATATTCTATGTTCACGAATTGGAAGAACTGCTAAAATATCCATACCACCTAAAGCAATCTCCAGGTTTAATGCAACCCCTATCAATATCCCAATGTCATTTTTCACAGAAGTAGAACCAAAGAAGCCATAAATTTGTATGGAAACACAGAAGACCACGAATAGCCAAAGCGATGCTAATTAAAAAGAACAAAGCCAGAGGTATCACATTCCCTGACTCCAAACTATACTACAGAGCTAATCAAGACAGCATGATATTGGAGAAGAACACACACATAGACCACTGGAACAGAACTGAGAGCCCAGAATTAAACCCACACACATATGGTCAGCTAATTTTCGACAGAAGAGCCAAGAACGTTCAATAGAGAAAGGAAAGTGTCTTCAATAAATGGTGTGGGTAAAACTGGACAGCCACATGCAAAAGAACGAAACTAGACTACTATCTTTTACCATACACAAAAATTAACTCAAAATGGATTAAAGATATGAATATAATACCTGAAACAATAAAATTAGTAGAAGAAAGCACAGGCACTAAACTATGGACCTGGTCTCAGGGATTTTTGTGAACTTGACCCCAAAGGCAAGGGGAGTAAAAGCAAAAATAAATGAATGGGATTATATCAAACTAAAAAACTTCTGCACAGCAAAGGAAACCATCAACAAAACAAAAAGACAACCAACCTAACTGGAGATGATACCTAAAAACGATGCTTCCAGTAGCGGGTTAATATCTCGAATATATGAAGAACTCACACAAGAACAAGAAAACAAACAATACAGTTAAGTTAGCAAAGGAGCTGAACAGACACTTCCAAGGGAGCCATACAGATGGCCAACAGATATATGAAAAGATGTTCAATATCACTAGCTGTTAGGGAAATACAAATCAAAACCACAATAAGATAGCACCTCACACCTGTTCAAATGGCTACTATCGAAAAGACAAGAAATAACAAGTGGTAGGACATGGAGAAAAGGGAACCCTCGTACCTTGTTGGTGGGAATAAAACTCAGTACAGCCACTATGGAAAAGAGTATGGAGGTTTCTCAAAAAATTAAGAATAGAAGTACCATATGATCCAGCAATTCTTCTGAGTATTTTCCCCAAAAATATTAAAACAATTATTCGTGAATATATACATAACTTTACGTTCATTGCAGCATTATTTACAATCGTCAAGACATGGAAACAACCTAAGTGTCCACTGATGGATGACAATAAAAAAGATGTGGTATATATTTACAGTGGAATACTACTCAGCCATAAAAAAGATGAAATACTGTCATTTGTGACAACATGGACAGATCATCTTGAGAATATTATGCTAAGTGAAATAAGCAAGACAGAAAAGGACAAAAACAATATAATATTATTCGTATGTGGAAAAGTGGCTTTTTTTTAACCCAAAGAGGTTTTTAACTCATTCCTTAATAATATATGTAAATTGAATGTAACACATATTCTGGCTGTTAACAATTATGTACAATTAGTGCTACTAACATTTATTCTTTTCCTCCAACTTCTTCCAACTTTGTACCTCCCTTCTAGAATATAAGATTAAAATATGTAATTGAATATCTTTAAAACACTGAGTAAGCTCATGATTGATGTTTTTCTGCCTTAACATGCATAAGAATGTATTTGTGAAAAATACATTTATTTTTAATAGCTACCTACAGATGGTAAAATGTTGCCCTGACATATAACCACATAGATGATATTAAAAATAAGTTTAAATTCATTGATTTGATTTAATTTTCAACTACTTGTAAATATCCATAAACTTTACTTTTTATCTTTTGTCTATTATTTTAATCCATTCTTTTCTATCATGCAAAATTTTTTAAATAGTTATTAGGTAGTAGGAGGAGGACTTTATGGTTCATAGCAATCTTAGTAATGCACATACATAATTTGCTATAAAATATTAAAATGAATAATTTTTAATAATAGCCATAACTTTTTTAATACTAACAGACCATATTTAACTGGAAAAAAGAACATGCTTCAAAATAATTGCTAGGAAATGTATTCTTTGGCTGCTTGTTTTTTTCTCTTCTAGGCTTTTGGGAAGCTTTTTGATTTGGCTTTTTTATTATTTTTCCATTGCCTATTAAAATATTCAGATATTTGGGTACCTGCTCTGTGCCAAGCTTTGTTCTCAGTGTGGGAATGTCTCCTGTGACCAGTCAGATGTGTTGTCTACCACAGGCATGGGTAGGTTTCTTACTTGAGGACACAGGTCTCTAATGGGAGTAAAGTAGCACCCATTTCATAATGTGATAGATATTTACAAAAACAAAAATGTTGGACCATGTTTTTAATATGTTTTTAATATGCCATGTTTTAATATGGCAGCCTTTTCTTATATTTAATGAATAAGTTGTTTTATGGGCCTAAGCAGTCAGTAATAAAATTATATTCTTGGCATTCAGTCAAAAATATTCAGGATTTTATTACAATGCATATTTTATTTCTTTTTATTCTAAATAAACTACGTAAGTAGCTTTATGTACCCCTCAGTTAACCCTCATTCAGTCATTTTCAAAATACTACTATATCACTGTGTATTTGAAATTATATAGAACATATTGACAAGGTGTTTAAATTTAATCTACATGGTCAGTTTGGTTTCTAACAATGTATGTATTACCTATGCCTACCATAGTGCCATGAAACGTTGGGGCACAAAATTTGTGATCAGTATTTGATGTCAATCATCAGATGACAGAACGGCTTAGTTTCAGCCATTGATTTCTGGCTTATTTAAATACTTTTTATTTTCTTTTCATATTCTGGAATCCATAAGTCCTAATACCCAAGTAAAGGATGAACACCTGTTTGAGATTGTGTTTTAAGAACAGAATGAATTCTATTTTACTTAAAACTATTCTGTGGATGCTAAAATGAAATCAAAAGAGGAATGTGGGTAGTTTTTTACAGAGTTGACATATAACTCAGTTCATGCATTTAGAAATTAAAACATTTTTAACCAATTGTCACAGTCCTTGTATGACTATTAAATTACATGGCATGACTTAGCACAAACCTGTTTTTTAAGTATCTACTCACACATTCACCTGTTAATGTAACAAATTAGGCACAGCTGATGGATTTTGATAATAGCAGCTGTCAACCTCTGTTAAAATCAATCAGTGGCAAGGTTGTATATATTAAGTTCTGTATCACGTCATGAAAATTTATTTACAATTTAACCACTAATAAGCACAACTGTCAGCTTTGCTGTTGATAGTTTCATGATGTGTTTTGGCTCTAGGTATTTGTATGCTGATTTTTTAAAAACTTTCTGACATCTTTGAGAAAAACTACCCAACTGCCTTATGATTTACTTAAAATTTTTTTACTGTTGCCTAGAGTTGAATATTACCTTGAAAATATCCTACATTTTTTGGTTTTCTTACATTATTTTTTAAGAAGTAATGAGGCTATTTTTTAAAAACAAGTATATCAGAATTGATATTTCTAAATGAGTATTCTTCAAAGTAGTCATATTGGTAAGCTATGCATTTATTCCAGTGATGCAAGCATTATGGCAGCTATCTGTACCCTCTGTTTTAAAGTCTGTCTTTAACTACTCAAGAATATAATTTTATCATTTCTAATTACTTCTTAATTTATACTGAAAATGTGATCACTGAGCTTATTTCACCTGACTTGGCCTTTGACTGGTTTTCAACTGTTCTCAAAATTTAAATCCTCCCTTTGTCTCCTTTCCATGGACATGGATGTGTCACCGTTGAAGTTCTTTAGGAGAATCCATCCCACACACCTGACCAGTTAACTCTTTACATTGCAGGTTAAACCACACCTCAAGAATTTTTATAGGTCTCATTACCCACTACCAGTCCTAAATTTATCCTCCTTTCACCCTTTGCTCACCACCAACTTTCCTAGACACCCCTAAAAATATTTTCCTTGTTTGCTGCCCCTACCAGAGGTGGTATCTCTATGTTCTGGGGTTCCACACATCTGATATTTTTTCCTCTGTCATCTGCCTTACCAGGTTACAGTCTAGTCATCTGGGCATTATCCTCCTCCTTCATGCTGAATTTCTTCAAGGAAGGGATTATTTCATATTCATTGTTCTCCCTTACAGTGTCTAACCCAGTGCCAGTATTTATGGAACAAAATGTGTTACCATCTCAGAATTCCGCTCCAATGACAAGTTTTAAAGACTTTAAAAGTGTTAATATGCAAAATACGTCAGAGGGGCTGATCCAAAAAAGGTTTTTAAAAAAATCAACTCGCATTCTTTCTCTTCCTTTTATTCTTACTGAGTAGCTCTTCTCCACTTCGCTTCTGAAAAATTCAGAGGGGAGTCGTGGTGGGTGACGTCTCCCACAGCTAGGGAAGCGATGGCTCTGGGAAAGGGCAGCTGACTTTGAACCATTTTGAAGCCAGTAATTAGTTGACTAAGCTTACGGTTTTCATCATGTCTGTTCAACTGATTGTCATCTTATGTATGTGAGTACAGGACGTAGAATTGGCAAGGGCCTAATAGATGTATAATCCCATTTCAAAGACAAGAAAACTGAGGATAAGGAATTTGTGTATGATCAATAGCAAGTTAGAGGCAGAGTCAGAACTGGGACTGAGGTGTCCAGCCTCCCAGTATAGTCCCTTTACTCTTATATTCTTCTGTTTTCATGCTACCCTTCATTGCTGGCAGAAGTGTCCATTTCTTGGTCTCTGGGATGAAAAAGACTATAGGCCTGGTACTGGTCATCTAATCATTTGTCATCTCACCCAGTTATCTGGGTCCATTTGGTTAGATAATAGACACAATTGCTTAAAAAACTACCACATACTTATAACAGCACTCAGATGTTAGGCCACCTGAAAACTGAACAAGGAGACTAACTAAAATGCTGACAGTATCTTTTCCCAACAAATTATGTTAAAGTGAGCTTTATGTACACATATGTACTATATGCTGTACATATATGTACCATGTACTTTATGTACACATATGTACTATATGCTGTACACATGCCCTGTACACTATATGGCCATATGTTTTATCTGTGTAGTGTTCTCTTTTCAAATATGAATTAAATTTAATATTAAACATTAAAATGTCTATCAATTGCTTTTCATTTTCCAATAAGAATTTCTTAGTCCTGCCTTTTAGCTACTTACTTCCTGTTACTTCCCTAACTAGATAGAAGTAATATGAGCAATTTTCTTAATCCTGGTTTGCTCTTTAACGAGATCAAAATTAAGATTGTTTGGCTTCTTTATAATGTGCATATACTACTTTATCTGGAAGTATTTTAATGTAGTATCTTTAAAATTATCTAATTAAATTTGTTATTTCTAAATGTAATGCTTCCCAAAGGTTACTGAAGAATAGTGATTATTAGTACAATAGCCAGTAACACTTTGACCACACGTTCTCATTTTTATCTTGTTTTACCTAAGCAGACATTTGCCACATCAGATTTGAATAAAGGACACTGAAAAAGAAGTTTATAGACTGGTCTAGTAGAAACCCTTTATAGATACAGAGACATGTGCCACGTGCAGTCAGGGCACCCAGCAAATCGTGGCTGTGAAGATGGTTAGATCCTGGACTGTGCTGTTTGTCTTCAGTTTTTAGAATCAGAAGTAGATCGGTTCATGCGTGGGCAGTGACTTCTGCCACATTTTGAAAGACCAACTGCATCAGGCATTGCGTCTTTATTATACTGTATTTTCTGTATTGATGGCTTATGTCCTGTGCCTACCAGTAACATTTGCTGAATGCTTGCTTATATGCCAGGCACAGTTCTAACACTTTACATGAATGAAATCTTTTAATCATAACTCTTATGAGGTAGGTTCAGTTATTATCCCCATTATCCTGATGTGGAAACTGAGGCACAGACAGGCAAGTAATTTGGCCAGCATCACACACTGAGTTAGTGAAGGAGCTGAGCATAAACCCAGAGAATCTGGTTTAGAGATTGTGCTCTTGACCATTTGTTACACTGCCTCTTTGAAAACCTACATATTTAGGTTTTATAACGATTAAATATCTAGCTTATTTTCTTTGATGGTGGAAGTGGGGCAGTAAAGGGGGGTGGGGGCTGGTGCTATGGCCTCTGCAAGCTGCTGAATTCAGTAAGCCATTCAGTGAACATGTGTGACCAGAAAAGAATTGAGACCCTCTGCCTGAAGGAAATATTTACTTAATTTCTGTCTGGATCATTAGAATCCTAACTACGACATTTTAATCTTCTAACTTCATGGTCTGTATTTCATTTTTGATAAATTCTTTTGTTTCTACAGAAACTCAAACAGAAGAATCAACAGCTGAAGCAAATTATGGATCAATTACGAAATCTCATCTGGGATATAAATGCCATGTTGGCAATGAGGAACTAAACTGATATTTAAATTTCTTGCTTTACACATGTTATACCATTTTTTTCCCTCAAGTATTTTTTTCCCTTTGAAGTTTATTTATCTGTTTGTATTCTAGTCACTAGGATTAAAGTTCCTATTTTTACGTGGTTTTACATTAAAATATTCATTGGCAAGTTTTTTTTAAGCTCTTGATTCTATGAAAGATTACTGCAATAAACTTTGATAAGGTTTGTGTTTTGCTTAATCTTCATGAACTGAATAATTGTTTTATAAAAGCAAAATAAGTTTTGCAAATAAATTTTTAAATTTCATCAGTGTTTGTTTTGCTCATTTCATTACATTTTTAGGAGGAAATTAAAGGTTTAAACATTTTTGCATATGAAAATATCAATCTGTGATACAAACTGATTGAAATTAAACATGTAAGTTACAATTTCAGCTCAATTTTTTAAATTCAGTCTGAGTCCCAAACAAATTAACATGAGAAAACAGTTAGTTGCTCTAAGTAGATGAAAGTCACTTTTATGTTCGTTGAGTGTTTGGTCTTAATTGGAAGGATCTGTCTCTAAAAGCAGGGAAACAAATCATTTGAGGGTGGCACAAACTGAAATCATGACGGTGTGCTTATCTGCTACCTGCTTTAGGCCAAGAAACAATCCCCTCTCTGACTTTCCAGATACACCCTAATCTCATCCATTTCGGAAACAGCATATTTTCTAAGAGTTTTGAAGGAGATAGCTCTGTATAACAAGTGCTTTCACAGACTTGTAGCTGGTCAGCAGTCCTCTCTACAAGTCTGCAGGAGCTGGTCTCTCAGATAGTAAACAAAGTATCCTCAAGTAAGGGAGTCAGATTCTTCTCAGGAAGGACTTTTCCAGCGTGAACCAGAAGCCCTAACCTGTCTGGCCTGGGTTCTGGCTCTCTTAAGAGAGGCTGCTACTTGACTGTTCTTGTATATGGATAAAGTTTCCCTGGCAGGTTACACAGAAAACCAGTGTCACACAAGAAATGGCTTCCTCTGGGGAGGGGATATGGATAGTTGTATACCATTTGGTACCTTTGGAATTTTATAGCACATGCCTATTCAAAAAAATAGGCAAAACTTCATTTTAAGTTACACAGAGTCCCACCTATGACAACAGGCAGAATCACAAGAAGACAAGCCAAATTATGCCGGCATCTTTGGGCTCTCTAACTGTGCCTCCATCAGAGCAAGCTCTCCTGAGCAAGCCCAGTATTCGTCAGACGGAGGAGTCGACTGCCACAGTGGTAGCACTGCAGTTACAAGACAGAAAAAGCTACATGAAGCTATGGCAGTGAGAAGAATTAGGACCAATAACCCCAGTGTTCTGCAATATCTGAGGGTATTAAAGTTTTTCAGCCTATCACCAACTGGACAGGCAAGATTATAACAGGTGTTCACTACTATGCACGGTAGGTTGCTGGTTACTATTACGGAGTGGGTACTGACAACATCTAAAGCAGTTATGAAAAATGTTTTAATCTAAATTTTTTTTTCTTTTCCTTTTAAATTTTTATTTAAATTTAATTTTATTATTAGTTTCAAGAATACAGTACATTGATAAGACATGCATATAGTTTGTAAAACGATCCCCCTAATTGCTCTTTCTCCCCTCAGGCTCTTCACCTAGCCAGTACATTAATGCTGACTTCATTCCCTATGCCGTGCTCCCCATCCCTGTGACCATCTATCAACTACTAATTCTTCTTTAACCCTTCACCCCATTCTCCCAACTCCCAAACCCTCTCCCCTCTGGCCTTCACCAGACTGTCCTCTATATTTGTGAGTCTGCTTTTGATTAGTTTGTTCTTTTTGTTCCTTAGATTCCACATTTAAGAGAAATCATATGATATTTATCTTTGACTTATTTCACTCAGCATAATAACCTCTAGGTCCATTCATGTCATTGCAAATGGTAGCGTTTCTTTTTTTTAATGGCTGAGTAATATGTTGTTTTAATTGTCACACTCAACTCCTTAGATCATTCCAGGTGCCACAAACTAAACTCTTGGAGGGAATGTCGAAATTGCATCTTTGGGCCTTCAGTCTAGAGAGAGTATCTCTACTGTAAAGCAATAATCAATGCAGCTACATTCAGCTAGAGAGCTGTAGCCCCAAATTCTGGGAGAGTGGTTCTCAGCGCTTAGAACCGACACTGGTTTACTGAGTCACTCAAGTCTACCTGGGGCCAATTATGTGTTCAGGGTTATTAAACACATGGACACCACTAACTCAAAGCTTCAGCTTTTTCTTGACAGAGAGCATGCCAATAGATTGAAGAGCAAAGAAAATTCAATCATGATGGGTGGCCTTGGGCAAGTTAATCTCAGTTTTCTTGTCTAAAATGATAGGTGGGATTAGCTGATTTTACAATCTATGTTAGAATTTTAGTTACGAATGTTAGAAACCCAATTCAAGATGGCTTAAGCCAAAAGGGGGATTTGTTAGTTCTTGGAGCAAGAAAGGATGTTAGAGAAGAGCTCACAGCATCAAAGAAAAGCTGCAGGAGCCAAGGCTGCAGGAATTAGAACCAAGATTTCATGCCCCAGGATTCTCTATGCCCATCCCTAATTTCTGCTTCTCTCCCTCTGCTCCATTCTCCCTCTGCTCCTATTTTCTCTAAACTGTGGGAAAGATGGCCTTCCACTGGCCCCAGACGCTGGGCTGCTTCTCCTACTCTACACTGAGAACTCAAATGGACCCTGCTTAACACAGCCCAAGTCTCGTAACCAACCTTTGGACCAACTGTTGTGTAAATGGGTACTATGATTAGCCTGACGTAAATCTACAGTACCAGCCCATCTCTGTGGCCAGCAACTGGGTGTGGGAGGCATGGAAAAGCTCCAGACCAGGAAACAAACATTATTAGAAGAAAGGGCACCAACCAGAAACATTTGCAAGAAAAACATTAACAGTGGCAACCAGTCCACCAATGTTCTTGGTTATAACACTCTCAGATGCGAGTTATTCAACTCTCAAAAGCCCAAGGAAAGTTTACAGAAAACCAGAGGCATCACTGACTATTAGGAGAAAACTGTTAATTTTAATTTTTCTGAATTTGTGGACTTCTGTATCGACATTTTTTCTTTGCAGCTGTTGGGTTTTTCTGTTTGTCCTTGTAGCTGTTTCAATGAACTGCAATGCGACCATGTCAGGTCTTGGTCTGCCTGAGTTAAAGCATGGATAGGAAAGAGCTGAGGGAAAAAAGAATGAAAGCACCAGCATCCTAGTAATGACATTATCTTTAAAATGATTTGGAAACCTAAGGCCCTGATCGTTTAGACATTATATCCCTTGGCGCCATTACAAGCCAAAATGCGTTAACTTGACATTTTGATGTAGCTCCAGTTTGAGTAATTCATTTTCTTAAATTCCCAAGGAAGTTTAAGCTAGACAGAGGAGTCTTTCAACCTTAAAATAAAATGTGTGCTTGTCCTAAAGCTCAAAGAGTTTGTAATCCTGAGTGTTCTTAAATCTGTCCAACACAACTGGATGCCCTACATTTTTTTCTATTCCTTTAAAACATTATGGATCAAGGACTGAGTTTTTAAAGGCCAAATTGAAAGGTATTCTAGAAGTATATACATCTTTTAACATGGTAGCAGTCTTGAATTCTTTCATACTTTTTAAACTTAAAGAATTAGAGTTAATAGATTTAATACTGTTTAAGTTCGCATTTTTACATAGGGGTGACACTGTGCATGAACGCATTTACACCAGTAGATGTAGGGATGCACTGATGCATACTTTTTCCAAGAAACTCTTACGGTTGTCCATGTGCAATTTGCATTCCAAGAACTGCTAGAAAATTTACAAAGAGAGCGTAAACCTTATTTTCTCTGTACTTTGAGGTCTTATTCTATGACACTGGATCACAAGATCACCAAGTGGTGTGATTCTCGTAAGAACTACCTAAACCTGTTTTAACCTTTTTAAAAAATCACTCGGGAGCCCTTTTAAAATGCAGATTTTTGGATTTACCACAAATGTACTAAATCGGAATCTCTGAGGTGGGGTCTAAAAATGTGCATATTTAACAAGTTTTCCAGGTGATTTGTCACTGAAATGAAAAAATAATGTTCTATGCAATTTAGTGATAGTCATGAGCATTTTAATATGAAAAATGTTCAAATATAGCAGGATTGATATAAAATACAACGTATTATGCCATATTTAGAGTTCTAGCCTTTTGAGTATTCAACCTATTTCCCATTGAGAAAAAAAAGTGCAGCTCACTGCCAGCGTTAATTTAATTTTACATAAACACACTCTTTGAGGATGAAGGAAATCTGACTGGTTTTCAATACGTTTTCTAGGATTTGACATTTTCAGATTTGAAAATTATATTTTGTGAATGGAAATACCACTACTAAAAATGGAATGCTATAAATAGAATGTCATTTGTTTCCAAAGACTATCGATATATTTAGAGCGATGCAAAAATAATAATAGAAGCGAGATATTTTATGGCAAACTTTGGGGGTAAGGTTAGGACTAACCCGCGAGTTATCTCGGGGTAAGCACTGCACCTGCAAGCACTGCTGGCGAGTATTCTTCAGGCAAATGGGAAATGGGTTAAAAATAACATTCTATTATCAGCAGTTATCAAACTTGGCTACACATTAGAATTGACTGGGGAAATGTTAAACTTCCCTATGCTGAAGTCACACCCCAGATCAACTAAATCAGAATTCTGGGGTGAGATCTAGACATCAATATGTTTTGGGTTTTTTGGCGGGGGGAGGAGGGGAGTGGTTGTTTATTTTTTACCGTTAAACATATTTTTATTTTTGGTGAGAACACTTAAGATCTAATCTTTTGGCGAATTCTAAAAATTCAATACAGCATTATAGTCATCATGCTATACATTACATCCTCAGAATTTATTCATGTTATAACAAAGTGTATGATCTTTTACCAACCTCTCTCCTTTTTCCCTGGCAAACACCATTATACACTCTGTTTCTATGAATTTGACTTTATCTTTTAGATTCCACATATAAGTGATATTATACACTTATTTATCTTTCTCTGTCTGGCTTATTTCACTTAGCCTAATGCCCTCCAGCTTCATCCACGTTGTTTCAAATGACCGGATTTCTTTCTTTTTTATGGCTGAATAATATTAAATTTTAGGTGTGTGTGTGTGTGTGTGTGTGTGTGTGTGTGTACTAGATTTTCTTTATCCATTCATCCATTTGTGGACACTTACATTATGGAAAACAGCATAGAGATTCCTCAAGAAACCAAAAATAGAACTACCTCCCATATGATCCAGCAAACCCACCG